CGAAATAATTATTATCAAAACCATCAGATGTGGTTGGGTCAAGATTAGCCAACGCTGTTGCACTGCCATTTTGAGGACATATTTGCCTAAGGTTTGACAGATAAGTTGTGTTTAAACTCGGATCTGGATTTCCTGTGCCATTGAAATTGTAAAGCCTGGCACTGAATACACGACATTGGGCACGTCCAAATGTATGTGCACCTAATAACAAAGATTTATCGAAATTAATTAGTAAATCGTTCGACTTCCCAAATGGATATGCAATCAAAACAGAGCTAATTGATTAATTACCAGATAAGGCAACTAAATCAGTAAGATTAAGGCCAACAGCAGTAAACTTTGCTGTAATGTTGGTTAATCCTTCGGTTGGAGAAGGAATTGATGTATTAGCTCCAGCCTGGTTTGCGGTTCTACTGTCTCTTCGTCCTAATAAAACATTCCATGAAGGACCACCTGCCTGCACGAAATAAAGTTTAACAAAAAAAAGAAGATTTTTGAAGAAAAAAAATCGGGTCTAAATCATTTTTGTGTTTGTATATCATTTCAATAAAGGTAAAAGGAAAATTTTATAAGTTGAATTGTTTTTAATTATAGAAATGTGACATTCTTTTCGTACCAGAGAAACAGAGGATTCTGCAGCAAGAGCAAGAATATCAGCACAAGAGACAACGCCAGGGCAAGAACTTTCAAGAGCTGTTTTAATGTTGTCAACGACGTCGAAACCTCTTGTGGAATTTGTGTTTGGAGCTGCATCTTTCTCACTTACTATATTTGTTGTAGCGTTGTTATCTAACAAAAGTGAAGCATCACATCCCTGTGATATAACAAGTAGAATCATGTCACTTAAAATGAGCTAACGAGCAATACAAATTATGTGTAAAAATGTAATAAGAAAGAGTAAATTTACGTTGACAAAGCAATCATGAAAATGAAGACGGATGAGGCTGGCTCCAATACGTGCATCGGACTGTAAAGCTTGTTGAATTACATTTTGGACTATACTTGAAACATTAGGACATGTAGTTGAGTAAAAATTAGCACTCAATTGGGCATTTGTTTCATAGAAACTACAAGTTGATAACAAAATGCATATAACTACTAAAATATAATTAGGAGACATTTTTTCTCTTGGTATTTATTTTTATTATATTAGATAGAAAAGAAATTTCTTTTACACTCGTGTTTCATGAATTAGCGATAGATCTAGGCAATATATAAAGAACCAAAAAGTGTCTTCTCTTCATGTAGTATCATTGACAATTTCCTAGAACATAGTCAAACAAAATAATTTTCTTTATTTGTAAGTGTGTTTGGTGAAATGAGCAACACGAGATACTTAAAAAAGTTTCTAAACTTGGCTCGAATTATTATTTTTAATTTTAATTATCCTTGAATTTGATTATATAAAACGATTTATTTCTGAATGTTGACGATAGAAAATTTAAAAATTCGCTCTTTGTCTCCTTTAACGTTGACGTTGACGTAACAAAGCGTGAGTATTAAAAAAATAAAAAGTTATCTTCCAAATGAGTATTTGTTTACTATATTAGTTATTACATAATCACATGCGATGATATATCTGTTCCAATTGTGTATTTTTCTCTTGCTATATCTTAATATATATATATAATGCATATTTTTATCCCAACTTTTTATTTGTTATTAAAATTTCATCTATCGATAATTTGATATAATGACTATATAATTCAATATTTTTTTTAAATAACAAATTTAAGGGGGTAGATGTATTCCACTCCACCAATTAGGGAATTTGTGTTACTAGTCTATTACAGCAGACTTTTGTGGAAAATAGTCCAAGGCAAAATGGGGAAAGAAGTAGTCATATGAGACTTTTTCAATATTTGAATAAAATATTAAAAATTCCGGTGATTTCTTATTAAATCAAAATCTTATGTAACAAGTAATCGATAATTTTTATATATCTATCTATGTCTCAATCTATTTGATATCGTTTAAATTTTGAGAGTCAAATAATTTTATTTTTATCATGAATTTTAATATAAAATCTTTAAATATTTAAAATATATTATACATATTTAAAACCTACCTAAAAAGTAGTACAAGTCGTAATACTTCTTTATTCAAAATATATTTAAAAACTATGATAAAACCGAATTTGTATCCTCTTGAAATTCAGACACTTTTCTCATTAGAGAACCTTCTGCAATAATGGATGCAAGTTGTGACTGATTAATATAAATCATTAAAGTTGATTTAACATTTTCGATAGTAAATTTTCAAAGATTCTCCATTATTTAAGGAAAAAATTAGAATGTGGGCAATATGTTGCTGTATTCAATTTTAGTAATCATAAATTCCCTTTTCCAATTTCAATAACTACATTTTCAAGTAGTGATTAGGTTTTTTTTATTTGGACATTATTATTTAATTTGTATTCAAAATTTTAAAACTATTGCACATCTATTTGCTTCAAATATAATGTCTCTTTTGATACAAGTTTTAATAATATAAAGGACATACTCCCTTTCGTCTATTTTACTTATCATGATTATTATTATAAAAATAATTGATTTAAAATACCCGTTAGTTAGACAATTAGAAAAAAAATTAACCAAAAAATTTCACCTATGGTGAAAGGAGAAGGAATATTAGATTGAGATCAAACAGTAAAATTTATAAGTGTATATTATAAATTTTTAGATAAAATTCCAATAAATAATTTTGACATTATTTTGATATATATCTTCCTTTTTTTAAAAAATGACAATCTCAGTGAGTCAATATATTTGCAAATAATTGTTGTTTGATAAAATGACAAATTAATAATCTGTCTTTTATACGATTGCTTTGATTAGGTGATTATTGGGGCTATCGATAGCCAAAGAAAACAATTTTACTCCCAACTACTTTCACCAAATCCTTATAATATCCAGAGAAGTGCTACCTAATTACTTCGGGAGTCAATTTTAAATTATAAATTTAGACGTTAAATTTTTTTATTTTATTTTAAATTAAAATAAAATTTACATATTTGAAAATTACGTAAAAAGCCATGATAATTAACAACTCTAACATATTTATAAGAATTAAACTATTAAAAATGTTCTTTTTTGTATTTTTTAATTCCTCTAGATTTAAAAATTTATGCATCCACTATTTCATTTGAGTTAGATATAATTTCATATTGCATGTCTGAAGAGACCTTTATAGCCTTGCTCGTGAAGAAATGAGTTGGGCTAAACTATAATTTGGGCCTTATTAGAAGTAACGTCTTCTTTTGTCAAAATTGAAGACAAATTTATGCTAAAATATGATGGGAGACATATTGAATTTAAAAGCATATAACAGAAAAAGTATATTTGATCCTTAAATTTTTCGTTAAAAAATTAACACATTCTGTGATATTTGGCAAGTAACTAAGGCTTACCTAAGTCACATTCGTAGTAGTTCTCATACTTCGTTGTAAACCTCAATACTCAATTACACACAAAATGACCTAAAATGAGACCTTTTATATTCCTAATACATTCTTACATGTATATTATATATATATTTTGGTTCAAAAAATAATGTCAGGTCAAAAAATTAATAAGGGCTTCACCTAATATTGAGTCTAATACCATGTGAAGAAAATTTAAATATTTAGTCCAAACCTATAAGTATATGAGTATAAGGATATATTTATTTCAAAATCTTATAAAATGAACTGAACATTATACTAATACATACACTTGTAAAATATTGTATATTTCTAATTACAAGTTGTGTCATAGATATGAAGAATGTATATCAAGTATCAAAGCAATTTTGTCCTCAGTATCTCTCACACGTTGTACGCAACATCCCAATAATAATTATAGGGATGACTTACGTACATCACAAAAGTCATCGTCGTTTTATAAGTTTCTGCCCAATTGGCATGTACGCAGAAAAGATTTGACACAGATTTAAGATTTAAATATTTAAATTTCTATAATGATTTGAAATTCATACTTCTTTCGTTCACTTTTACATGTTCAGTTCATCAAATATGTAAAGTTGTATACTGATGATGAACAAAAAAGTAGGTATAATAACAATTGGTTCATAATTAAATCTTTATATTATATATTTACTAAATCTTTTAAATATATGTATGTAATTTGAATAAAAACTATATACGTAAACTCATAGGATACCTTTACTTATTGGTTGAGTTCAGTCCATTATTTGCATGCAGCATAGTTTGACGAGTTCAAACTTTTCATGTCTTGTATATTATCTGGCATATTAGTTGACTTCCCGCGCATTAATTACTTAAGTCAACGGCAATGCAGTAAAATAAAGCCAATGCAGTAAAATAAAGCCAATGCTATGGAGTTTACCGTTGACTTCCCTAGTTTCATGGTACTAATGATTTAATATTGATTTCTGGATGTAATTAAATATTCTCTTTAGCCAAATAATTCATAGTTATAACATTTAGCCAAATATTTATGTGTTAAACTAATTTGGAAACATAAATTATAAGATTAAAAAGATGTTCGGAGTCCACACTAGAGCTTCGATTATATTCTGATGACACATTTTCAAAACAATTTTGCTATATACCCAAGATTTGAACCCGATTCATTTGATTAAGGATGGAGTAATGCACTTTGAACCACAATCCAGGTTTGACAGGGTTGATTTAATCAAAATAATTGATAAGAAGGATAGATCGACCGGTAAAATAACATTAATTACGGGTGAATGAACTCAGTATTTTATATTTGTATTAAAAAATTCATTAATTATATAAATATTTAATGATATATCGAATAACTATGAGGATTATAACTCAAAATTTATAAACTTTAAATTTTGATTTCGATCCACCTCTTAGCTTGATTTTCCACGATACAAATTGTCTTGTGTGTGAATGATTAAAAGGAGAATACAACCCAAAAATAGAGGGTCAAACTTTTGCCACTTGATAGCCATTAAGCTGCTGGTCAAGAATAATCCATTTCCTACTTAATAATTACTCCATCTAATTACACAATATTTCCCATATAAAGTAAACCTTATGGTTCATTGTCTTTTAATTCTATGCTTGAGTTCATTATTCTATAGCTCAGCAGCATGGCTAGTAGTTATTTTCTCCTACTTGTTTTAGTTCTTTCTGTTTTCTCAGTTTCTGCTGATGGTAAGCTTTCTTTATTTTCTATACTTAATATAGAAACCTTTTTATCTCAATTAATTTGAATTCGTATCAGATACGTCAAGTAAGGTGTATCAAAATTTACTTATGTACTAATCCAAATTCGTGTTTGATCTTATATATATATATGTCCATTACTAGAAACAAAGTTTCTTTCCATCGTAAATCAGTGGAAAATTTGTGTACTAATCCAAATTTGTGTCGTACAATATGATTTTTGCACTCATTTGCCACTTAACAAACTCATTAGGAACATGGATGATTGGAAACATATTCTGACTTAAATAGTGGGGAACTTCCTAATTTTTCTATATAGAAACATTCTTATTTTTATTTTTTCGGTAATTCAATCAAAATATCTATGAGACTAAGTCACGGAATATTTTTTCAATAGGAAATTTCAGGTTGGAAAATAATATTTTTGTTAATATTGGGGATAAAGCTACGTACTATCAAAAGGTTTTCTAACACTTTGCTATTCAAATTCAAAACCTCTAGTTAACGATAGTGGTATCGAAAACGTACTTACCTAACTAATTTCAATTCACACTAGCTAGGTCTATTAAGGGGGGTCAATGTGCTTATACTGAATTAAAAGGTTTTCAATTCCCATAATTTAAACTTGAGATCTCTGGTTAACGATAGAGAAATAGTACTCTTGTTTCTATATTATCTTAGTTTATTTGATCTTGATTTATTTATTTATTTTCTTGCTTTTCATTTGCAGTGTTTGTGAGCCTAGATTGTGGATCTTCAGAAGCATACACTGATCATGAAACTTCAATAGATTGGTTAGGAGATGTTGACTACGTAGCCAATGGAGAATCTCATGTTGTACCATCCAACAACTCAATATCACACGTAATGGACACTCTAAGAGTGTTCACAAGCAGGACCAAAAATTGTTTCCTGATTGATGAAATCGAAAAGGGTGGAAAAGTTCTAATTCGAGCTAGTTTTCACTATGGAAATTATGATGGGAAATCAAATCCACCATCATTTGCACTTCAATTTGATGGAAATCATTGGGCCAGTGTGTCAACTATGAGTGATCAACTTGTATATTATGAGACAATTTATGTCGTTAAAGGCGATTACCTTACTGTGTGTCTTGCTCAGACAGAGGAAAATCAATTCCCTTTTATCTCAGCACTTGAAGTTCGTGGCTTGGATTCTACTATGTATAGTCATGTTGATGATAATCATGCTTTGTTCTTGAGAAGAAGAGTTGCTTTTGGTTCCAATAAAACTATCAGGTAAAATATTCTACCTAGCCATACATCAATGTTATCTTGTTGCTTCTCTTTGTGTTAGTTAGAGTACTTCTATTTAGCGTTATTAGTCAGTTGTTAAGTCAGAAATTTCGATTATTACTGTTGTGGTATTGTATTCATTATGATGATGACAACCTATCTTGAGGCTCAAATAATCGGGGGTTCTGACTTTGATATCATGTTAAATAGATCTTAGACCTAACTTAGCCCAAATTGACACTAGATCGTCTTTAACTCAAACCCTAAAAGCTAGATCAAGGGAAGCTCGATTTGAGATTCTTTTTCATTCATCATTTAGACTCCCATGTAGACTTTATTTGTGGGATTACGTACACGTAATATGTTGTTGTTGTAACAAATTTGTTTTTTTTTCTTTTCAAAATGGACAGGAACACAGATGATCCCTATGACAGGATATGGGCTCCTGGTTCTGGAAGTTCAATAGAAACACTCACTAGTGATGCCTCAACAATTGACACTAGTCATGGAGATCAACCCCCACAACAAGTGTTACAAAATGCAATTTCCACAAACAATTCATTAAGTATCATATCATGGAACATGAATTTTCTTCCTATTGATAATGTTATCTACATGAACATGTACTTCTCTGAAGTAACTCAACTTGATGACAACCAAACAAGATCATTTAGAATTTTTCAAGACACTGAGTCTATCTCTGAACCAATTTTGCCACCTTATGAGGATTTTATTCAAATGTATGTTAGCAATGTCACTGTTTCACCATCCACTGTTTTTTCTGTTGTGAGAACCACAAATTCAACACTTCCTCCTCTTATCAATGCCTTGGAAATATTCACTACTAGTAATGCATTGAGTGATGGAACAAACACCCAAGATGGTATGTACACTCTCTTTTTAGTCTCTTGTAGCACATAACTTATCTCATGTTACTAATTATAGTTATCTGATTGTGTAAATTCTTTAACACGCTTTCAACGTATATAAATTAATCTCGATTTATGAGTTGACTTCTATACGTTTGATAGTATAAAAGAATGCCTAAAAGATTAATTGTCCATAGACCATAATAACTATTGATAACTTGAAAACAGTATGTATTTAATTATGTTATCAGTGTATATATAAGTTAAATACTTTATATATTGATATTTCTAATATTGTTGAGTTATATATGGGATATTATACTTACTGAAGTCCTATAATTTTTTTTTATATATATATAGTGGAGACTTTAATATCATTGCAAAAGGAATTTGAAGTATTACAAGGCTGGATTGGTGATCCTTGTCTTCCATCACCTTTTACGTATGATTGGATCAATTGTAGCAGCAGTGATCCACCTCGCATTACAGCACTGTAAGTAAAATTTAATTCATTTTAATATACGCCATCTAGCATACAAAACATTCTGCGTAGGGTCTAGAAAAAGATCGCATCGAGCACTAGTAATTGTTTTTATGGTTCGAACACGTGATATATATATATATATATATATTATTTAAAGTGCGCTTCGTTTTATGTAATGTATTTTTCTTTCGTTGAAATAAAATTAATTTACAGGTACTTGAGTAAATTCAATCTATCAGGATCACTTCCAGATTTTAGTTCCATGGATGCTCTTGAGACAATGTAATATTTCTTGTTCTTATTTTCAAATTTAATTTAAATGCATTTCTTCCTAAATAGGGATATTTTTATTTAAATTAATTTCTTACTCTCATTTTTTTTGTGCTTCTTGAATTGCAGTGATTTGAGTAACAACAATTTGGATGGACCTATTCCTGATTTTTTTGGCACATTACCGAATCTTAAAGAACTGTTAGTATAAAAATATCATACTCTGATCGATTTAATTAGCAATTGTTTGGTCAATCTTCTTAGAACCTAAAAATATTTTGTTTAAAAAATCGTTTTATTTTTAAAAATTAAGCTGTTTGGTCAAAATAAAAATTGTAACCAACAAGTTCTGAACGATTTAATTAGCTTGTTATGATAAATAATTTTGGTATAATTTCTTTTCAGGAATTTAGCAAATAACAAGTTCAGTGGACCAGTCCCTGCTTCATTGTCAAACAAAAATGGCCTAACCTTAGAGTAAGTAAAATTATTTTAATTACCTAATAAAATTATTTTTGATCTTTATTATTTCCATATATAACATATCAATTTTGTCTTAAGAAACATTTTTGAAAAATACTTTGCAAAATTTGTTATGAGTCAATTTAAGCTATTACATCAATTCAATATCCACAGAACTAATATTAAACGGATCATATTTTCATCAACTAATTTTGTATTTTTTTAATCATATATTTCAGTACTTCAGGCAATTCAGATTTGTGCAGTTCATCAGAAGAATCTTGCCAAAATAATGACTCATCATCACCAGGAAATGATCAGCCAACAACTGGATCAACCAATAATAATAAGAAGAAGAAGAAGAAAAAAAATAATTTGCCAATAATACTGGGAACTACAATATCAGCCTTCTTGCTTCTGTGGGCTATTGTGGGTATTTTTGCTATTTTACACTACAAAAACAAAAGGGCTGCTACATCTCTTATCAATCCAGGTGAGGCTAACTGTCGATTACGAAAAAAATGTTTGGATATAGAATTGTTATAATTTTTTAATCACAGTGTAAAATGGTTACTAACTCACTAATTATTTTTTAACAATATTTAAATCCAATTAATATAAAGTTGAAATTTTCAGGGCAAGCTAGTGGAGGCAGCACCCCTTTTGTAGATAGAGTCCAAATGTCTGAAAAAATTGAAAAGAATCCAGAGGTTACTGCCCATGATCATGAAAACTCAACAAATGTTTAGCTTTACATGTTTCTTAATTTCAAAAAGAAGATTAATGCAAGGTTAATTAGAAATATCAAATTTATTATTAAGTTGGCTAGCAAGAAAATAATACATGTAATGTAATGTAATGTTTAAGATTTTGTAATTTGTTGTAATTAATTTTCTTACTGTTTTTGGATCATAGTGACTTTGTTTACTTAATAGTACTCCATCTAACAATTAAAATCATATCATCTTATTTGAATACTATCAATTTAAAACTTTCATTTAAGGAGCAACTATTTCTATCCCATTTATTTGGTTTGATCCTTTGCGATTTGAATTTAAATTAATTGACTTTTATTAAGAAGTGCATGGATATTTGAAGGTCAACTTCTTAAATTGTTGTTCTTCTAATATATTTATAATATAATTTAATAAATTAATTGACATGGTGAAAAATGAGATAAAAATGAAAATGAATAGTGGCTATAATAAAATAAAATAAGGATTGTGTGAAATTAGGTCTTAGGCCTAACTCACACCCCAAAAGCTAGCTCAAAGAGAGGAGGATTGCCCAAGCCTTATATAAGGAGTCCACCCATCTCATTAATCACCGATGTGCGACTTTTGTCATTCTTTAACATAGTGTGAAGATGAAGGTTGTTAGTCATTTTGTTAGTTAGTTAAATGTGTCAGAAAATTAGTTAGGAAATTAGTTAGGAAGTTAG